AGGAGAAGTGACTGTCAGTTATCAATTGTCAGTTGATTTTCTTAAAGGAGCACACTCTCATTTTCAGGACAATGTCTGCCAATTAACCAAATCAAATAGCCACAGATTTTGTCATTCATTCCTTCATGTAAAGATGGCATTGCCTACAAAAAAAGAAAAACAGTCTAATTCATCTTATGCAAATATTTTTCTTGGTACATAATAGCTGGGAACGCAGCAGGAGTGTTCTGTGTGCACTTGCGTGTCATCGCATCAGGTGCTGTAAAATGTGGATCTGAGGATGACAGAATAGTGAAGATGATTTTTAATGCTTCAACCAACACTTTGAAATGAAACTGGCTTGGAGTTGTGTTTTGAGGTAAGTAGTTGCGAAGAATAACTACTACTACAGTTAGTAATATAAGCTCCATTTTAGTAAGTTTTATCTCAGCATATGTCAAAATAGTGAAAAAGCCAATGGTGTCTAAGTGACATTTTGAAAATAGTTTTGACCTCATGGATCTTATGATAGGTTCTGGGTGACTTCAAGGGCTCCACAACCACACTTTGAGAAATGCTTTTCTCAGTGAACCAGGGAGCATCTCCCAAGTGTTCTCTGCCTTTGCCTCCTCTTCACTTCCCAGCATCCCTCTCCCTGGCTGGCTCCTGCCTCCCCAAGCTGCCTTCCCTACAGATACAATGGAGAACAGAGAGAGGACCCTGGAGATGTCGAGTTTGCACTGTCATGAGTGATGGACACTGAGTAAAGGTGACAAAGACGCGTGTATACCTGACCTGAGCCAAGGGCTGGGAGGAAGGAGCGTGTTTATTATGAAAGCAGAGAAGTAGGAGCACTTATATTATTTTAAATAATATCGAAAGATGGAAAAATATATTAAAAACAGGGCCTCCCTGGTGGCATAAGGTTTAAGTCTGAGTGCTATCACTGCTTAGATCTGAGTTTGATCCCTGGCCAGGGAGCAACCCACATGGGGCAGCAGACCTCTCCTGTCTCACCCACCACTCCCCTCAGCAGTGGATTTCAGTGGATCGGCCTGTTCTGCTCCCTACTCTGTGTCTGGTGAATCCTCTCACCCTCTGCACCTCTGGCCTATACCCCAGTTCTTGTATACATAAATAAATAAAAATGAATCTTAAAAACAAACAAACAAACAAATAACATGCAGCATCAAGTATAAGATCCATCTCAGACCCAGGAAACAGCAGAGGCTGGGGACCCAGTGGTGGTGCAAGTGAAACAAAACACAATGGGGGACTCAGTCAGCTGGAGTCAGGCTTTGCAATCAAATGAGTTTGATGTCAAACTAGAGAGGGTCAGTCCACCATCCAGTGATGCCAGGCCAGGAAGCCTTGGCTGGTCTTCAGCCCCAGCCAGTAGTCAGGCACCATCTGGGAGACTCAAGGGATTGCTTTTAAGTTTGGCTTAATCTAGCCCTTTGTTTAATTTCTCTATATCCATATCTAAGTGACATATTTGTCTTTCTCCTTTGGGCTTGTTTCCATTAGCTCCATCCATGTTGCCCCAGATGGCATGAGTTTATGTTTCTTGATGAGTAGTATCCTATTATCTATGTACCATCCCTTCCACAGCTCGGCTACTGTAAATAGTGCTGCAGTGATCAGGGGGGTGCAGGTTTCCTTTGAAGTAATGTAATGTCCTCTGCGGGTTGCTGGCGCCTGCTGCCCTAAAGGGGGCCAGAATATCTGAGAGCACCTGCTTACTCTGCACAGGGGATTCCAGGAGGTTAGAAGTTCTGCAAACAGAACTTCTTCCCCAAATGATCTCCTGTTCCCTGCAGACATGCTGACTTGTGGCATGATCCCTGCTAACTAGAAAGACTTGTTCCAGCAGTAACTTATTCATGTGTATAAGCATAAACACAAATACACGCTATTTCCTTATCCCTTTGTTCATTTCTTTAATAAGAGCTTGGGCTGGGAGAGTGAGAGGCAGAGCCGCCCTAGAGGTCTCTCCCCAGCCTCCCCTGCAGCTAATTCATTTAGACTCTGAGTCTTCCTTCATAGCTGAGAACTTCCCATGGGCTGTCTGAGGCAGGGTAGATACCTTGGAATGGGACTGCTGGGTCCTACAGCAGATTCACAGTTAATTTTCTAAGAAACCTGGACACATTCCCATCAGGGCTGAACCAGTCTACATCCCCCAAAACAGTGCAGGACTGTTCCCTTTTCTCCCTGTCGTGCCAGCTCTTGTTATGTCTGGTCTTTTTGATATGGGCCCTTCTCACAGGTGTAAAGTGGTTTCTGACTGTGTTTTGAATCAGGGGATCTTGAATGGATCAAGAAGATGGGGTACACTTCACCCCAGTGAGAATGCCCACGTTAAAAAACCAGAAACAACAAATGCTGGAGGGGATGTGGAGGTAAAGGAAGCCTCTTGCACTGTCGGTGAGAATGTAAACTAGTCCAGACATGGTGGAAGGCTGTGTGGAGTTTCCTCAGAATACTGAAAATGGACCTAGGATGATCCAGGGATTCCACTCCTAGGAATCTACCCAAAGGACACAAAAACATTAATTAAAAAGGATATCTGCACCCCTATGTTTATTGCAGCACTATTTATAATAGGTAAGATATGGAAATAACCAAATTCCAAAAATAGATGACTGGATTGAGAAGATGTGGTACTCATACACAATGGAATACTATTCAGCAACCATTAAGATCATCCTCAAATCCACATTCTAAAATACCTGCTGTGCTGACCTGGAAGGACAAAGGGAGCTCTTCTGCATTCCCAAGCACTGTGTCCTGGCAACAGGGTGGTCCCCAGGAATGGGGGTTTCAGGTTTCCTGACACCCCCAAGAGAGGTTGGAGCTGAGCTGGGAGAAAGAGAAGAAGCTGCAGAGGAGACTGAGGAAGGAAAGAAACAGGATGGAGCCAGAAGGAGACCTGGAGGAGGCACATAGAGCCGAAAGACATGTGAAGAAACTGCACTTGCCTTTTGGTCGTGAACTGGATGACACAGATGTGGGTGAGAGACCCATGGGGAGGTGACAATGGCAGCTCTTGTCTTGATTTTGATTTTGCTCTTTTCCTCCCAGACTTGTCTGGTTGTTTCTGATCTTTCTTATGGGTCCCCACTGAAAGGTGTTTTGGATTTGGGACAGATTTTGGGCCTTGCTCTAGGCCAATTCCATTTGGGTGGACTTCAGGTGCTTAAGATCATCCTCAAATCCACATTCTAAAATATATGGTATGCAGGGAGAGGGGCACGCCAGACCCCGCAAACCTGCCTGCTCTAAATAGTTTCTGCCATCTGCCACATCAATACAAAACATATGAGCTTTTAATGTAAAGGAATTTATTTTATTTATTTATTTATTTATTTATTTTTATTTCTGCAAGAACCGGGTTACAGGTCAGATGTGCAGGAGAGTGAGAGGATTCACCAGAGACAGAGCAGGGAACAGAACAGGCAGACTGACGAAATACACTGCTGAAGGGAGCAGCGGGTCTGCTCACCATGTGGGTCGGTGGGGATCGAACTGGCACTGCAGAGGCTGCGGACAGCTTCACAGCACTGTGCTCAACCGCCTGTGCCACCAGGGAGGCCCTGGAAAGGAACTTTAATACAATTAGTAAACAATTCAGTGTCTCGAGAGTGATAGATAAGCTCCAGTCAGAAGTTGGCTCTCAAAGAGAATTTTTTCCTATATTGGTCACACACACTTAAGTTCATACAGGCAAGCCAACCCCAAGTTACCAAAGTACATTTGACTGAAGACAGTTGCTGCAAAGTGTCTTAGCCGGGTCTTCCACCTAGGTGGAAGTCCTTAGGCCATAGAAGTCTCTAGGCTCAAGGGCCCGCAGTGCAGATGGTCGTGCAGGGTGTTGAGTTGATAGGCTGCTGTCAGGGAGCAGGCCACCGGGGTCCCAGGGAGCAGAGCCTGGAAGTGCAGGTTTCCTGGTGTGGTGAACCGGGGTGCGAGCTAGCAGCAGGGCCAAGGAGAGGATTCAGCTGGAGAGCGAGTCTGAGTCCAAAGGGAGGCAGCGAGCTGGACTCCGGAAGAGTAGCCTCCAGCGAGTCTTTTACCCAAGCCAGTTGTTAGGACTGCTCTGAGTCTGCTTCAGGGAGCTGCTCTTATACCTTCTTACCAGGTTTAGGCTCAGGCACCATCTGCTTTATCAGTCTTTACCACTCAGTATATGGCCTCAGCTACTTTCACTCACAGAGCTCGCAGGCACCTTAATATTGTCAATTTTACTTGTAAGTTTTATATGTTTGTTATACTAACTAATGGGGGGCACAGAGTCAGGAACGCAGTGTCCCATGAATCTGATCTGGCCGTGGTGGGGCGCAGGCCCTGAATCGTGGCATCCCACGATTCGGTACGGGGCAAACAAGCTAGAGGGACATCCCCACTACTCTTTTGTTGCCTAGGATTTGGGCACCTAGTCTGGATGGGTGTCCCCAAACCCAGGGTCTCGGTGTAACTGAAGTCCGCTGACATGGACCCACCAAGGTTTAGGGAACAGCCAACCAAGGGAGGGGTTAGGTGAGGAGCTGAATACCCAGAGGCGAGGGCCTCCTGGGAAGGAGGATCAGACAGGTGACTTACCCCAAAGATCAAGGCTGGTGGTGGCTGTGAGTCTTCTGCAATGGAGAGGACAGGTCCCAGGGACAGGAAGGTGGCCCTGGGGCCAGGGGACACAGCCTTTCCAGGTTTTGGGCACCAAGATGAAAGGTTCGGTGTGGTACCGAAAAGAGCCCCGCCAAGCTTTCCCAAAGGAAGGGAAAATTTATTGCGCCCCAGGCGAAATTCATTGACCCAAGGTGGAGACCCCTGTGTGGAGTTGCACACGTTGTCACGGGGAGGCAGGTGGGAGACTGGGTTTGCAAGGGCGGGAAAAGTTTCTAGGGCGGGGAGGGCTTCATTGTCTGAATTTTCTAGGCAGGTGTAGGGCAGGACAGGACACAGTGCAGGTTTTCTGATCCCATGCAGACCGGGTAAAGGAGGAGTCAGAGTCCTCAGTGGTTTTGCAGGTTTTTATTGGGGTTCAGCGGGTACGTGGCAGGCAGGGGTGCTGGGGGGCTGGGAGGCTGGCAGTCCTCTCAGCCCCCAGAAAATCTTCACTCTATCTGGGCTCTCTGGCGTTCTCTGCTTCTGCTTTGGGCTTTTCCTCTTTCGGCTTCTGCTGCTGCTGCTGGCGTCCCTGCCCCTAAAATCCTAGTCTTAGCCCAGGTGAATCACATCTACCCATGCCCACACCCCACTCCAGGTGCCCGCCATCAGGCATGCACTCAGGACCTCAAAGATCCATCATCTATCCTGATGGCAGGAGGGCAGAAAAGCCTGATATTTTTCCTTACCCTACAGAGACCTAAGGACTCCATGCCCTGAAGCTCCTCAGATACCTGATGAGGAGGGATCCAGAGGGTGCCCAGATACTGCAGTAGGTGCCAGCCCTGCCTGGGGCTTGAGGGCATTCTCTGGGGATCCTGCTCTCTCTGGATTCATATTGTATCAGACTGTTTTCTCTGGGGAGCTCATCCTGATACTTTGATCATGGTGCTGCACAGTCTGGGCACTGCCCGACTCCACTGGTGCCATTCATATAGACAGCATGACAATCCCTGGGTAGTGCCATGTGGTGGCCTCCACAGAGCTCTGTGCCTTCACTGAGCTCCTATAACATGTACTAGCTGTATCCCCCACCCCCATGGCAGTGCCCTCTGACTACCCTGCCCACATGCCCTGCAAGCAGGAGCCATGTCCTTAGCTCATGCTCTTCTGCTCAGTTCCTGCTGCCGGCCTGCCAGTAACAGGCATCCCATTAAGGCTTGGGCTCCCTTGCTGCTCCTGCACCTCTCACAGCCTTGCTCTAGCTGGACCTTTTGTCTGCTTCTGCTGCCCCCTCCCAATACCTGAGTGCCGCCTTCTGTCTACAGGGAATGTCCCCGGATCTCACTGTCCACCCTCGACCCAGGCAAGATCCAGAGCTGACCTCAGGGCTCCCTGGGCCACAAGTATCTCTGTTTCCTGCACAAGAATGTGAGTTTCCAGCTTCTGCACATCTGGCACTCACCAGGAAGGGCAGAGCGGAGTATGGACTGCCACCGGGGACAGGAGTGCTTGTCAGCCTCTGTGCCAAGGCTTTGTCATTTTCTCTGGGGCAGGCAGATAGGCTGTGAGCATCGCTTCTATCAAATATATTGGCCAGCATTTATTCACCTCTTACTGCATGCCAGATGCCCCCAGCAATGCTATCAAGTCTGTTCTATTCTTATCCCCTTTCCATGGAGGAGAAGGCAGACTCCGCGCAGTTAAGCAACTTGCTGCCTTCACACAGCCAGTGTTCATGGAGGCAAACCCACATCATGTTCTTAACTGCCGGTGCACTGTGTCCCCCTGTTTCGGGGGGACAGTGTTTCTCTCCCTTGGCAATGGCAAAACTGGCACTCCCAGCCCGAGGCAGGAAGGATAGTGGCTGGAATGGGGAACCCCAACTCCTGAGGAACTCCTTTTGTCGAGCACCTGCCCCGTGCTGGCTGTTGTTGCAGGTGCTGGGGAACTAGACAGCCAGCCAGATAGCTCCAGCCCTCACGGTGCTCATTCTGTAGTTGGGGAGGCAGACAGGAAAGCTGTAAAATAAGAAAATTCACATAAGGATTCAGGCGGATACTAGCAGTAATGAAAATGTGCCAGAACGGTTGGTACGCAGGGAACGAAACCAGCGAAGAGCCTGCCCGTGTGGAGCGTGGAGCGTCCTTCGAGCAGATGGTGAGGCGGGCCAGCGTGATTGGGACAAGGGCGGGGTGGGAGCTTCGCCGCCTCTCACAGTGGGCTCAGAAGAGGCCCCACTGAGGAAATACGGGAGAAGAGAGGAGCCCGCCCTGAGGAGAGCAAGGAGGAACATTCCCGCCAGTGCCAGGCTGTGCTTAAGGACAACAGGCCTCGAGGTGTGCTCTGGGGGAGGCAGGCAGTGGGCTGGAAGGTCACCTGCGCCAGGGTCTGCAGCCACGGAAAGGGGTTTGGACTATGTCAGAGGAGCACTGGGAGACCCAGGGGGGTTCCAAGCAGGATAGTAATGTGATCTAATTTATTAAAGAATTTGGGGTACAGCTGGACCCCTTCCCACTCCCCACACATACCACCTGACAGAGCACCTCTGGCAAGCAGCGGCCCAGCCGCTACAGGGGCCACCCAGGCTGGAGGAGGCGAAGGATGTGTGGAGATAAGAGTGAAGGCTACTTGGTGACAGCGCAAACAGGAAAAGGACATGGTGAGATTAGTCCGGCAGGTGGTGGACGTGAGTCTGAGAGATGAAGATGGGAGGAGAGGAGTTGGGCGCCACCCTTGGGTTCTGTCGATGGAGATGAGGAGGTGTGGGGTAGCCAGGTGTCAGGTCTAGGGTGTGGACCCTTTCTTGGCCCGATCCTGGGCAGAGTGCCTGACAGAGGACGGGGTCTCAGAGACGGGCATGAGTCCACTCCAACCCTGGGGGCGGGGAGACGCTCACACCTGCACTCAGGTCGGCCTGGCCCTGCTGTTGAAGATGACATCAGGGCACCAGGAGTGAGCCCTGGCACTGGGCCCTCTTCCTCCCTGCTGAGGGAAAAGAAAGCCTGGGGTGGGCGTGGGGGACCTGTGCTCTTAGTCCCAGTAGATCCACACCTTGTAGTGTTGTGTCAACAGTGAGATGTTCTTTCCACCTCCAGGTGATTTTATTCAAAAATTGAGTTTCTCAGGGCCTTCCTGGTGGTGCAGGGGTTAAAGTCTCAGCACTATGAAGCTCTCAGCAGCCATTGTGGCCTGAGTTCAATTCCCAGCCAGGGAGCTACCCACATGACAGAGCTGACCTCTCCTGTCTCCCCTGCTGCTCCCCTCAGCAGTGTACTCAGTAGATCTGCCTGTTCTGCTCCCCACTCTGTCTCCGGTGAATCCTCTCACCTCCCACATTTCTGGCCTTCACCCAGTTCTTACATGCATAAATAAATGAAATATTTTTTTTAAAAAAACTAAGTTTAAGGACCTCCCCTGGTGGCGCAGTGGTTGAGCGCTGGGCTGCGGGGCTGCCCGCAGCCTCTGCAGCGCCTGTTCGATCCCCGGCCACCGGCGAGGGTCCCATCAAAAAAAAAAGAGTGAAATTCCAAGTGTACAACAACTAAAAACAAAAAAATTGAGTTTAAAAAAAACTGAGAAACAGGAAATAGAAGAAATGATTTTAATTTTCTGGGGTGTTGCCATTAAAGAACTAGGGACAGGTGGTGGGGCTGGGAAAAACACGGAACCCTCAGAGATGGCACAAGGGCTTCTGAGCCCTCTTCTCCTTCAGTCCCTGCCCCACCCCTCACTCTGACACAAGCAGTTCAAAGCTCCCCAGAATCTTCATATGGGGTACCCATGCCCCAGGTCAGCCCCCTCCTACCAAGCCCAGGTTCTTCCACCTGTTCAACCAGAATCTGCGAGCAGCGCAGCAGCGCCCCCGTGTGGCCACAGGGCTGAGCACAGGAGACCAGAGCTGCCCTTTCTGCTCAGCCAGGCCCTGCAGAGGGCTCCTGGGGCTCCCAGCAGCACAAAAAGGGCTTTGAACACAGCGGAGCCCCCATCCATGTCAGATATGAAGTATAAAGTGTTTCCCAAAACCCCACACTTATATCAGTGTTTCCTCCCCATGGACTGCCTTGGGGCTGTAGGATCTCCTGTCATTACAGCAGGTCCCAGGTGGGGAACCCCACAAACAAACGGGGTGCCCTCAGTCACCTGGGATGGAACATAAGACACCTGAGTCCCTGTTCCTTTCTCCTGCCGCTGCTTCTAGAGTTGGAGTCAGTCTAGTTTGTCTCTAACCATGGGATGGGGAGGGGAGGAGCTGCCTGGGGTATTAGATCCTGGGGCGACCTGGGGACACCCTGGGAAAGTAAGGCTAGAACAGAAATAAGGACATGAAAGGAGCAGAGGTTACAGGAGGGGAGAGGAGAAGCCAGGGGAGAGAACTGCCCGGCCTGGGAGACAGCTGTGGGCAGCCTGGAGAGGGTCTCCAGGTTCTGGCCTGAGAGAGCAAAGGGTAGAAGCTATGCCACCCCTGTAGGCACCAGCCCTAGCCCCAAATTCCAGGGGTCTCCAGGCTCCCACCCCCTGTGGACGACCTCCCCAGTAACTGGTTGTCATGGTCCCAGTTGTCCCTTCCTCCCCTGTGACAACCAGGCCAGGGACCTGAGGGCCTGTGCTGACCTGCAGCAGCCGCTGACCCCACTGAGGCTACAGGCATCAGTGATGGCCCCACAGACGCCCCACAGCCACTTCCCAGCAGCAGTTCTGACACCCTCCGCAGCTGCGGCTCAAGGGGTTCCCTCTCCTTCGGAGACATGCACCCAGACCCGCAGGCTGGGTCCTCAGGCCCGATTCTTTGCCGCCCCCAACCCATGAACTTAGGAGCTCCGCAGCCCCACCCCAATGTCTTTTCTACCTTGATGAGCGACCCAGGGCTTGGGGGGTGCAGAGTAAGTGTGTTCCATGCAAATCCATAAGCTGAATTCTAATCCCCAATGTGATGGTATTTGGAGGTGGGGCCTTGGGGGATGATTAGGTGATGAGCTAGGGCCTCATGAATGGGATTATGTCCCTGGGAGACACTCCAGAGAGCTCCTCACCACATCCACTGTGTGAGGGTGCAGTGGGAGGGCAGCCAGCTATGAATAGGGAAGAGAGCACTGGAATTTGCTGGCACCTTGATCTTGGACTTCTCAGACTCTAGGACTGCGAAAAATGAATTTCTAGTGTGCATGTATCTGTTTATGATGTTCTGTTATCATAGCCCAAATGGACAAGTGTTCAAAAGCCAGGAGACTGTTCCCCAGAGTCCCATGTGCTGCAGTGTCCCTTCAGTTGTCATCTGGGTGACAGTGTTGTGACCCCCAACCGGATGGACACACTTCCTGGCCCAAGAGACATCAGAGGCAGGTGGTGGCCAGCACCACCTGTCTTCCCTGCTGTGTGGTGAGAGGCTAAGGAAACTGAGATGAAATGATAGTAGCAGACACACACAGATCTCAAGAAATGCCCATTTTGAACAGTTGTGTCCCCGAAAATTCATATATTGAAGTCCTATCCCTCAATATGATTGTACTTAGAGATACAGTCTTTGAAAATATAACTAAGGTTAAATGAGGTCATACGCCTGGGGCCCTAATCTGAAAGGACTGGTGGTTATGAGAAATATCAGAAATCTCTCTCTCCCCAACTTGTGTGCATGCACACACATGACACATGCACACACACGCACACACGCACACAGAGGAAACACCATGTGAGGCCATGTTGTGAAGTCCCAGCTACAAATCAGGAAGAGAACCCTCATCAGACACCAGCTTCCTAGCACTTTGATCTTTGATTTCTAGCCTCCAACTGCTTGAAAATGCTGCAGGGGGCCTTGTTGCCCCAGCCAGGTAGGATACTGACAAGCAGCAAAGAGAAAGGGCCTCACACCGCGGGGCTGAAGATCTGGCATCCCTTTGTGCCGGGGACCAGCCTCCGGCAAAATGTCATGTCAGGGGTTCCTGAAAGGATGAGACGGGCTCAGCGAAAACGAATGAACTGAAACTTAGGGACTGAGGGGAAGGGAATGAGGAGACACCGACACTTGGTGAGGTGTTAGTATCTTCTGCTGAGAGGCTCAGCAGGTTCTTTATACATTTTTTGCAAGCAGTGAGATGACATTATCATGTGCATACAAACAAAGCAGAAACAATCAGTGCATCTCTTTTTCTATGGGCTTTTGACCACTACGTGCTCTCAGCAAGAAGGCAACCTTCAAGGCTACTAAAGAACTAAGCCTTACACTAGAACTCATTGTTTCAACCAAACAATAACCTAAGACAGTAGATAGCCACCAGTACATCCCTATCAGCCAAAGCCTAAGCAAGAAAAGACTTTTCTTATTCTCATGGCCTTCACAGCAAGAGCTGGCTGCTACCCAGCTATCAGAACTTTTTCTATTTAGAAACTCCTAACTCAAATAGCTTCATTTAAAAACTTTTTCAAGAAACTTCAAGGGAAGGCAAAAGAAGGACCCACTATAATTATTGTATTGTAATGCTTGTCAGGCATGTTCAACAAACCATCTCCCATTGTCAAGTGGGCCAAACTGCCCAACAACTAATTTCTAAACAATTTTTCGTGCTATTTACTTACAGTATGCTGATACATATAATTTATTGCCTAATATACTTTCTGATAAATTTTTCTCTCTCTATGACCAAGAACAAAAAGCAAAGGGATGCCAGATCTTCAGCCCCACGGTGTGAGGCCCTTTCTCTGTGCAGCTTGTCAGTATCCTATCTGGCTGGAGCAACAAGGCCTCTTGCAGCACCTTTGCTTTTTATTCTTGGTCATAGAGAGAGAAAAATTTATTAGAGAGTATATTGGGCAGTGGATTGTACGTGTCAGCAGACTGCAAGTAAATGGCACGGAAAATTATCTGTTTAGAAATTAGTATTAAACAGGGCCTCCCCGGTGGCGCAGCGGTTGAGCGCTGGGATGCGAAGATGCCCGCGGCCTCTGCGGCGCCGGTTCAATCCCCGGCTGCTCCCGGCCACCAAAGGAGGGTCCCACATGGTGCGCAGACCTCTCCTGCCGCCCGCTGCTCCCCTCAGCAGTGTACTTCGGTCCTTCTGCCTGCTCTGCTCCCCGCTCTGGCTCTGGTGAATTCTCTCACCCTCCCGCGCTTCTGACTGTACCCAGTGCTTGTATAAACAAAACAAACAAACAAACAAATAAATAAAACATGCCTCTATTAAAAAAAAAGAAATTAGTATTAAACAATTTGGCCCACTTGACAATGGGAGACAATTTATTGAACATGCCTGACAAGCATTACAACACAACAGTTAGAGTAGGTCCTTCCTTTGCCTTCTCTTGAAGTTTCTTGGGAAAGTTTTTAAATGAAGTTAACTGTGTGAAGAAGTTTCTAGGTAGAAAAAGTTCTGATAGCTGAGAAGCAGCTGGTCTCCGGCTGAAGGCCATGTGAATAGAAGAGTCTTTTTTTTTTTTTTTATTTTTATATTCCCCCATACAATTGCAAGTCTCCGGCTGAAGGCCATGTGAATAGAAGAGTCTTTTTTTTTTTTTATTTTTATATTCCCCCATACAATTGCAACCCCCCCATTCTGACCCCAAATCCCTCCCCTCCCGCCCCCACCCCCCAAAAAGTGTCTCTGGTTCATAGTTGTTGTTGATTTTGATTTTCACTTTCTTATAGTTATTCATTTTCCTGGTCCCTTATTTAAGTTTTCTAGATTCCTGCTATGAGTGAGACCATGTGGTATTTTTCTTTTTCTTGCTGACTTATTTCGCTGAGCAGGATCCCTTCCAGCGCCATCCATGTTGCTGCAAATTGCATGTGTTTATCTTTTTTGAATGCTGAGTAATATTCCATGGTGTATATGTACCACATCTTCTTGATCCAGTCATCTATTTTTGGGCATTTGGGTTGTTTCCAAAGCTTAGCTATTGTAAATAGTGCTGCTATGAACATAGGGGTGCAGGTGCTCTTTGGAATTGATGTTTCTGTGTCCTTTGGGTAAATACCTAGGAGTGGAATTGCTTGATCATATGGAAGCTCTATGTTTAGTAGGTCCAGAAATCTCCACACAGCTCTCCACAGTGGTTGGACCAGTTTGCACTCCCACCAACAGTGTAGAAGAGTTCCTTTTTCTTCACAACCTCGCCAACATTTGTTGTTGCTAGTTTTTTTAATATGTGCCGTGAATAGAAGAGTCTTTTGATGCTGAGGCTTTAGCTGATAGGGATGTACTGGCGGCTATCCGCTGTCTTAGGTAATTGTCTAGCTGAAATAATAAGTTTTAGTGTTAGGTTTGGTTTTTTATCTATTAACCTTGACGGCTACCGTCTAGCTGAAACCTGTAGGAGCCAGTAGTCCATGGGAATAAAATACTCTGTCTCTGCTCTACACATGATAATGCATTTTTTGATTACTAAAAATGAATAAATAAAGACCTGCCGAGTCTCTCGGCAGAAGATACTGGCACCTCACCAAGTGTCAGTGTCTCCTCACCACCTCATCCCCTTCCCCTCAGCCCCTTTCGCTACACCTAGGCCGTCTTTTCCTTTCAAGGACTTCTGACACGACATTTTGCCGAAAGCTGGTCTGCGGCAAGAAAACATACTTCTTTCAACCCCCTAGTGTGTGTATTTGTTGACCCAGCCTGAGCAGACCAAGGCAACTCCAAACCAAAATCCAGGCAACTCTCCCTTTCAGTTTCAGATGTACCCAGCTTTACAGGACTGGTCATAGCGTATATTCATGTGCTGTCATCGATATGCAGTGACATTCTGTGCCAGGCATGGTTCTGGGCCTGGTGATCATTTCATGAAATCAGAGAAAAAAATACTGCTTTCCTGATGCTTCCATCTGACAGGAAAACAGACAACAAATGAGAACATCGCAAGAAGAATAAAGTGTGATATGTGTTCTTGTCCATCACTAAGAAAACAATGCCCCAAATAAAAGCATCTTTTATTTTCCCCCTTCTGCTGGGTGACAGGGTCAGTGGGCAGCTTCTCTGCTCCATGTACACGGGCAGGGGGTGCAGTGGTCCAGAACACCCAGGAGGGTCCCTCCCAGGACGACAGGGGTTGCAGGCTGTGGGCTGGGGCTCACTGGGGCTGCTCACTGCGTGGTTTGGCTGTTCCCAGCTGAGCTCCTGGGCTCCAGGAGGGAGTGTCGCCTGTGGACAAGTCAGCCCCACTGGGGATCTGCTGTCAGATCCTCAGAATTCAAAGTGTCATTGTCCCAAAGCTCTTCAAAGATCAAAGGGAGGGAGGTGGTCACACCCCTAGGTAGGCGGTGGCGGTGTCACGCTGCGGAAGGGCATGTGGGGTGGGTGTTGTCAAGCCTGTCTTGGGAAAAGGCCCCTGTACAGTGTGTCAGAAAGTGGCAGGAGTTAGAGGAAAACTCCAGCAGGGTGGACGCCCAAGGCAAGCAGATGGGAGGGGCACTTGCCAATAAGGTGGTCAGGGCGGGCCTCACTGGGTGACAGTTGAGCAAAATTGAAGCAGGAGACTGAGGCTCAGGGACTTGCGGGGACCCCTTCCTGGGTGGCCTCTACGTGTATAAGGCTGCGCGGCGCAGGCACTCAGGCTGCGGTGGGAATGGAGGGGATCCGTTAGCCAGACTCCTGCAGGGAGCTGTGGGCACCCCCTTCCTGCTCTGGCCCTCAGAAGCCCTGGGCTGGGGAGGGAGGAGGCATTGCTTTGGGAGGAAGATGGTGGCGTGGTGAGGGTGGGGGGGGGAGAGCTGCGGTGGGCAGCTCACTCAGTCTCCAGTCTCTCTCGCGTGGCCAGGGTGGTGGTGACTGCCGTGAGGACCCTGGGGCTATCGCACTGCGGGGGGCTGGGCATGTGAGGAGGGCGCTTCCCCTCTGGTTTTCTCCCCCACACCTCACAACCACCATCTAATCATGAGAAAACCTCAGACAAACTTGAACGAGTGACATTGTACAAAGTATCTGTCCAGTACTCTTCACAGCTTTCAAGGTCATGGAAACAGGTAAGAACTCAGAATCTCAGAAGAGTGTAGAAAAACGGGTGAAATCCAAAACAGGTCTGTAGTGTAGCTAATGGTATTATACCAGTGTTAGCTTCTCGGCCTTAGCATAGCTTTGTTAGATGTTAACACCAAGAGAAACTGGGTGAAAGGAGTAAGGGACCTCTGCGCTAGCTTCACAGCATTTCTGTAAATCTAATGTGATTCAAAGAATAACTTTAAAAAGTGAAATGAGGGCCTCCCTGGTGGCGCAAGGCCTTAAGTCTCAGCTCTGTGAAGCTATGGGCCGCCACTGCAGCACAAGTTCCATCCCTGGCCAGGGAGCTACCCACATGGCGCAGCAGACCTCTCCTGTCTCCCCCGCTGCCCCCCTCAGCAGTGGATCTACCTGTTCTGCTCCCCACTCTGTCTCTGGTGGGTCCTCTCACCCACCCTGCCCGGCACCTCTGGCCTATACCCAAGTTCTTCTACAAAATAAATAAAATTTTTAAAAAATGTTACAGGCCTCTTCTTTTTCCTCTGCAAAGTAGGAACATATCAGGTAGTGGGAGAACACAAGGTCTTGGCCTCACCTAAATGAGATTCAAACAGTATCCCACCCCCCACCCCCAGCACAGAAGTACTGACTGACCTCCAGGAGGGTCACCCTCCGAAGTTCCTAGATCCCCCTCCCATGGCAGGAGCCATCTTCCCGTTCTGTAGCACGTGTCCCAGGCAGCGAGCTGGTTAGCAGCTGCCCCGCCCCAGCACCCCACCTTCTGAGGCCCACTTTTATGATGACCCCCTTTTCCCTGATGATCAAAGCTGGAACCCTCCACTCCCTCTGCACCACCCCTGCCCGCAGCAGTGTGACTATGTGCTCCAGCCCCTGCAGGACACGCTGAAGAAGCCTGCCCTGTGCACAAGGCTCACACATGCGGGTGCAGACAGGGCTTTGGTTCTAGCACCGGAACTGATCGGAGAGCTCGCTGCCTCAACAAAGCTTATGCAGATGCAACAGCGCCAGGAGATGGTGCCGGAGTGATGGACAGCTCTCAGAGGAGGCCGGATACAGGTCAGCAGTGATGGTCAGCAGGCATTGGTGCCAGAGATGCCAGTGTCACAGCTCGTAGAGATGCCATTGTACCAACAGCAAACAGCCTTAGAGAGGCTGGGCATAAGCCATCTGCAAACAGCTCTTTTAGAAACACCAGGGACAGGGCCTCCCCAGTGGCGCAGTGGTTGAGCGCTGGGTTGCGAAGCTGCCTGCAGCCTCTGCAGCGCCGGTTCGATCCCCGGCTGCTGGGTGAGGGTCCCACATGGCACACAGACCTCTCCTGCCGCCCGCTGCTCCCCTCAGCAGTATACTTTGGTCCCTCTGCCTGTTCTGTTCCCTGCTCTGGCTCTGGTGAATTCTCTCACCCTCCCGCGCTTCTGACTGTACCCAGTGCTTGTATAAATAAATCTTAAAAAAAAAAAAAAGAAACACCAGGACAGACTGACGATGCTCTCTGCAGGCAATGTTAGAGGCAGGGCCAGAGGGAGTTATAGTGATCAAGTCTCCAGAAAGGTCTCAAAATATATTGTGATTTTGAAGTCTGCGGAGGTCTTTACAAAGAAGTAAAGTGGAGTACTTACAAATCTAGGAATACTTACAAATCTGACCTGCAGCCGTCTATCAAGTGGCTCAAGCTGGCTCCCGCTCTGGCTTGTATCCTCTTCAGGGTGCCACCTTTCAAGCCTGAGGGGTCCCTTTATAATCCCAGCTCTTTGGTTGGTGCCAGTGGAGCTCCAATCAGATTGGTCCATTTAGAGACCTGCATGGTCTCATAAACCTTCAATGGTACCTGTGAGAGCGTGAACCTGATTGGTTCATTTACAATTCTGGCACTGTGTTCATAAATGAAACACCTGCCAGCATGTCCAGATGCTTGAGGTCAGGTAGTGTCTCTCTGAAGTGCAGGCCGCTGTCACTAAGAGCCCACTAGACAGGACCACAGTCTGCACACAGTAAAGTCCCCTCTCCCCACGGCATCAGGGATCACAGTGGGAGTGGGCTTTAGCAGGGCCAGAAACTTACCTGAGCATCCAGGCTCCCCTCTATCACAGCCCACCAGGCCGGTCTACCACCTGCCACAGCACAGCCCAGGTCAATGCTGCCAGAGCTCAGGGATGCCCACAGACTGCACACTGAGCTTGGGGCCGGGCACAACATGGGCCTCTCTCCCCATGGCTTCTGTCAAACCTTGCTGCTGAAGCGGCCTCAGCAAAGCTGGTCACACCCCACTGGTTGTACCAGGTGGCAGGGGTCCTCATTTAATGTAACTGCTAGAAAATGACCACTGGCCAGTTCTGCCCCCAGAGGACAATCTGTCCCCAGAGGACAAACCCACTGGGGCTGCTGTTCCCTCTTGAGTGGCTCCTGGCAGTGTGGACAGCACGTGGCCCCTCGGTGAGTTTGAGAGTGACTCGGCTGTGACAGGCCTGGCAGAAGCTGTGGCCACAGAAGCTGTGGCCCAGGGGTCCCTGTATTCTAGGCAGACACTGCAGGTCCCCTCTGCCAGGAGGGTCCAGTCACAGCCTTGTCATGACTGTCCCACAAGGCGGGTAAGGAAGGGGAAAAAACGGAGGGCAGAGGAGACGGTCAGGGAGGAGGTGACCACACTTGCCCTGGTCAGTCTGCAGGACCCTACTCCCTGCCCTGCACACTCTCACCTTCTCCTGTCTCTGCTTCCCAAGGCACCCCAGGCCTTCCTCAACATGGACCTTCACCAGCATCTCTCTGCTCCCCACACCAGGCAGGGAGGGCTCACAGGGGCTGACATCACCTCCACTTTCTCTCCCATCTCACTTGCTTTCATCACCAGAGCAACATCAGGAGGATTTTTTCAAATTTGACTTGTCAATAGAAGAGCTACCTGGGCAGGTAGTGGGCGCCCGTCACTAAGAGGACCCAACCCTCAATCTGGATGTTTCCAGTGCATGTGACCACACTGAGGCCTCAGCCCCCTCAGCTCGCAGACCCTTCCTTACTGCAGCTGTCACAGCAGGGGGCCCTGGGTGGTCAGAACCCTGGGTCTCCTGCTGTGTAGCCTGGGCTGGGCTTCTGAGTCTCACTCCCCACAGTCATTAGTTATGCTGGGATCGTGGTATCTGACAACTCACAGGGCGTCATGGGTTAAACTGAATAATCCATGCAAATGTTTGTCTTATTTTCATTATTGCCTTTTTCTTCGTTTTTTTTTTTTTTTTCATCATGAAAACTCAATTCAACACTTTCTCCCTCTCCCAGGGTTTTTTGTGCGGGTGTGTGTGTGATTGCACAACATTGTTACAGCAACAACAGAAATAAAAGAACTTTTATAGCAAAAATCTTACCTCCCATCCCAGTAGCAAATACAATAATAATACTTACCTTTCTGTGTTCTCCAGTGTGGCCATGAATACAAGGAGATTCATCCTGAACACAATATTGGGTAGAGACTTGGGGACACCAGCTTGGGTTTGACATGAGATCCTCTCCCTGCTGTACATGGAGGGTTACCCTGGGAACATGAGAGAGCCCCAGAATGAGAAAGAAACATCAGTTCACCCACCTAACATTATACTTTCCACTAGGAGCTGAGGTGGACCCTGCTCCATCTTCCTCCCTTCCTGGACTGTGGACAAAGGCTCAGCTCAGGAACTGGGGTGACCTGGGCTAATCCTGCCCCTGGGCCAGGCCAGCAGGCCACACACTCCTCCCTCCCCCTGTGGGACTCCCTCCAGCTCTGATCTAGAGAGAGAGAAGCTGCAGCCCATAGTGCCCCGATTCTGAGGCCGGTGGGTTTTCTATGAAAGTTGGGGTTTGGGGGACAGAGCTGCCAAGGGTGAAGGTGCCACCACATCCTAGCAGGGGCCTGGAAGGGGTGTCCTCCCAGATCCTTACACCTCAAGGCAACCATGAGATATTTCTAAGCCTCCTCCTCTTTTTCAGGTCCAATTTTTACAGTCCTGTCCTGCTCAATAATGGCTTTTCCATGGAACTGTGTTTACTGAGGTGTTGTGCTGACACTCTTTATGTGCGATTTCAATTAATTTATTCTGGGACTTAATATTAATTGATTTCCCATCATCTATGCTGTGTATCTTGTTGTTCCTGTTATACACACACACACACACACACACACACACACACACACAAATACTCCCATCTCCTTGGGAACCAGATCCTCACTCAGCACTGGGGGTTACTCTGACCCTCTGTCTCTGGTTCCTTTCAGAGCCGCCCTCTCTGCAGTGTCTCTACTCAGCAGTGTCTGAGCAGCCCCAGAAGTCCCTGCACCTCCTGTCTCTGCCCTTGTGGGAAACCAGCCCCTCACCCTCCATGACAGCGAGGAGGCGAAGGCAAAGTCCTGAGGTCAGTGATGGAGGAGACAATTTACTTTTTTTTCTTTTGCTTAAGAACTTTTCTTTTTTTCCCTCATTGTATTATTGAGTTAGCATTGGTTTACACACTGTATGTGTTCAGAGGCACAGGGTCACCCCTCTTCAGATGTTTGTTACCACATCACACCCACCAAAGGGCCCCCATGGTCCTCCACCATAGCCCATTGGGCCCTCTTCCTACCTTGTTTCCTGCTCTTACCCCCACCTTATAGCTTCATTTCTGTACTCATATTTCTAGAGTTTGGTTTGGTTTTGTTTCATCTGTCTCTGCTTTGTTTCCTTATATTCCATATATGAATGAAATCATCCAGTATTTAACTTTCTCCTTCAAACTTATTTCACTTAGCATAATCCCATCCACATCTATCCATGTTGCTGCAAATTCAATATTTCATCCTTTTCACAGCTGAGTAGTATTCCATTGTGTAGATAGCTTGTGTTCTTTATCCCCTCATCTGCCATTGGGCACTTAGGTTGTCTCCATCACTTGGTTATGGTGACAGTGCTGCAGTGACCATAGGAGGCGTATATTCCTTGGAAATAATGTTTTACCTTCTTGGATAAATGGAATGCTTGACCATGGGACAGGTCTATTTTGAATATTTTGAGGAACTGTCATTTGTTTTCCATTGGGGCAGGACTGAACTCGTGTGGTATCCATAGAAAAGGGAGGTTCCAGGTTTCCTGCCCCACCCAAGGAAAGGTGGAGCTGAGAAGGGATGAGAAGTTACAGAAGGGGAGCTATAAGTGGAGCAAATAGACATGTGAAGAAGAAACCATGTTTGCTTCTCAGGCTTGGACTTATGCCAGAGAGTTCAGGACATGGAAAGAGACACGTGAAAGAGACAAAGACGTGGGTGAGGGACCCATGGGGAGGTGGACAGTGGTAGCTGTTATCTTGATGTGGATTTTGATTTTCCTCTTTTCCTTCCAGACTTGCCTGGCCTCTCCTGCCTCTGTCCCATGGGTCTCTAGCAGTAGATGCCTTAGTCTGTGGCAGGCTTTCGGGCCTCAGTGGGCCTGCTTAGAGCCAAGCCTGTTTGGCTGGGCATTTACCCACTTGGGGGTTGGGTAACTTTGGGTGCTTCATTTGGCAACTATTTTAACTATATTCTGTTCTCTTTCGCTATTGCACACTAATTCTCTATTGCACACTAAGTGTATTAAAGTTCGTTTATATTGAAGGTCTTACACATTAGAGAATGTTTTGTCTTTATGCAGCTGATGACAGATCCCATGTAGAGTGTGCAGGTTTGAGGGTCAGGGGAACCCCTCATTCTGTCCACTAACAGGAGCAGATTCCATTTCCACCCACCATGTACCAGAGTTCCTTTTCCTCCACACCCTTCAATGGGCCATTCTCACAGGTGTAAGGTGGTAACTCATTGTGGTTTTAATTGGCATTTTCCTGATAGCGTATGATGATAAACATTTATCCATGTACCTATTGGCCACATGTGTGTGTTCTTTAGAAAAGTACCTATTTAGCTCTTCTGCTTCTGTTTTGGTTGGGTTGTTTTCTTGTTTTGGAGTTCTTTGTAGATCTTGGATAGTAACTCCTTCTGGATATATGAGATGCAAATATTTTCTCTGACTCAATATTGTCTTTTCATTTTAATGATAGTTTCCTTCACTATGTCGAAGCTTTTTAGTGTGATGTGAATCCATTGGTTTCTTTTTGCTTTTGTTTCCTTGGAGCACAGAATATAATATGGGCGGTGAAAATACTCTGCATGATATTATAATGATGGAACAGGTTTGTCCAACATCCACAGAATGGACAACACCAGGACTTTGGCAACTATGACATGCTGGTCCATCACTGGTAACACACGTGTTCATCTGGTCTTAA